CTTCCTCAAAAAATAAAAAATAAATAAAATGCTATCTTATATTCTGTGATTATATGTCTTATATTTTATTGTTTAAATAAACATTTTTATTGGGGAAAAAAATACAGTCTAGGCCTGTGAGCTTGTGTGGGATTCAGGAAAACAGGCTGGCTGAGTGGGAGCAGGGAAGGTCTGGGTTCCAGGGCCCCTCCCGGGGTTGGAGGAAAGGGTGTCTGAGATGCCCTCCCAGTCTGTCTCCTTCTCTCTCCCCACCGGACCCCCGGGCTTGGCCAGGAGCTCAGCTCAGCCTTAGACGGCTCTGAATGGCCCAGAGGCCCCCTAGGAGTTCCAATCCCCAGCTGCACCCCTCCCGGGCCCCGGCCCAAGCCCATCCGCCTGTACCTATAAATGAAGCGAATGGTGTAATAGCTGAGCAGGAAGATGAGGAACTCGCCATACAGCAGCTTATAGATGCTGCCCCGCCAGCACAGCAGTAGGCGGGAGAAGGAGCCCAAGCGGGCGTTAGCCACTTGGCTTGAGTAGGTGACGGTCATGGCCAGGCACCAGGCTGCAGCACGTGGGCTTGGGTCCTGGGGGACAGGCAGAGAGGGACACTGATGGGGGACCGGGAGGGAGCAGGGGCCTTGGTCAGAGCTAGTCCCTGCTCTGGGCCTCAGCTCTCCCGTCTGGACACTGGGGCGGGGGGAGGGGGTGATGGCAGGGCAGGGGATGAGGTGGCCTCTAAGGCCATTCCAGCACTGACTGCCTGTGGGAGGTGGGAAGCCAGGGAAGGGAACCCAGAGGCTGCTCATAGCCTTGGCAGGGAAGACACAAATAGTTCTGTGCCCTTAAATTGTGTGACAACGGCAATGACAGCAGCAATGTCCACACACTGGGCTCAGTCCTCTGAGGCAGGCAGTGTTCTAAACTCATCTTGTTCATCCACTCCCCAAGCTCCCTCAACCAACCTGGAGCAGGAATTGGTAAGGAGCCTGCTCAGTCTTGTCCACCACCCTGTGCCCAGTGCCCAGAACAGAGCCTGGCTGGTGGAGATGGTCAAATAATACTTTCTGAATAGTGGCCCCAGGACCTTTCCACCTGCTGATCCTCTTTCCCAGGGAGATGCTCTCCCTGATCTAATTGTATGGCTCATTCCCACTTCAGGTCAGCTCAGAAAGGATATCCCCCACCACCTACCTGGAAATAGCATCCCATTGCCACTGGCACTCTCTGCCTCCTCACCTTGCTAGATTTTTCTACGTAGCATTTATCATGTTATATTTGAAATCACATTTTGCAGGCTGCCTGCTTGTTTACTGCCTATTCCCTCCTTAAAATGGAAGCTTCTATTGTGTTCTCATAGGAGGTGCTCAATAAAAATTTACTGAAACAGTGATTGACACCCACCCTCCCCCTACTTGCTCTGATGCAGCCACAGTGGCTGTCTCTGGGCGCCCGGTGCACACCAAGCTCATTCCCACCTCAGGGCCTTTGCACAGATGCAGAGTTGCCCACACACCTGCACTCATGCTGCCTGTGTGTATACATCCCAAGCACGTATGCAGGGACAGTCATCCACCCCAAAGGCCCTCAAAGCCCCAGCCCAGCCCGCCTGCGGCAACCCCTACTCACAAGTGGAGCTCCAGGATTGTCAGGCGATCCCACAAAAGGTCTGGCTACTGGACTGATGGGACTCTCTGGGGTCCTGTGGCCAGGGCCCCTGCCCACACTTAGGGGTTGGCGATGCCCACGTCTGTGTTAAGCGGTCACTTGACCCCCTAAGCCAGGGCCTCCACAAAGGAACCCTTGTCTTGGCCCCTCCTCTTAATCTGCCCTTAAGCAGCAGCCAGCACAGGGCCCCTGTAATTCCTTCCTGGGAGGGCGTGGGGCTGAGACCAGGGCTGGAATTTGGGGCAACCCCCTCCATCATGGGCCCTGCCAATCCTGCCATTTTTCTCTGGGCCCTGAAATCCAGACATTAGGAGACCTGTTTCTGTGGTCTTGCAGGGAGAGCTCTTGGAGGCGGGGCCGCGGCCCTGGACCTCATCTCCTGTGTCGGGAGCTACCCAGACCGGGGGTATCTGCTCAGGGCCTATGGGGCTCTGGCAGCACTGTGGGTAGTGGACCCCACTGGACCCCAGTCTAGAGGTCCTGGCTCTGCCACTTGGGTGTAGTGACCCTGGGTGGGCCTCTGCTCCTCTCCAGGCCTTAGTATCCCAACCGGAAAAAGATGGCGTTGCTTTAGAATTCGATCAGCTGGGTAAGAGCGAGCGAATTCTGCATGTACAGATGAGGGGCTCGGATTGGCTGCTGGTGACGTCATAGGTTATTCGGGCTGTGATTGGCTGGAGAGACCCAGCGAGTAGGCAGCTTCCGAGCCGAGGGAGGAGAATGGGGGCAGGGGGCTGCTGTGTGCGGGCCGGGCCCGGCGCGGGATGACGCAGCAGCTCTGGTGTTTCTGCGGCTAGCTCCCGGCCGGCCCGTGTGAACCGGGAGCATGTAGCCAGGTCCCCAAGGGAGCTGCTTACTATCTCAGCAGCTGGTTCCATACATTTTAATGCGACAATCCAGAGGCAGAGCCCTCCTAAGCCGCTGGAAGTGATGGGGGTCCGGGACGTGCTCCTCTTGTATTAAGTGAAACCTCGAGGCAGCAGTGGCTCTTGGTCTTCAGAGGCCGTAAGAATGGCCTGGAATGTTCGTTAAACGCACAGCGTCTCAGGATCTTTCTCCAGAGTCTCATTCTGCCACCCGGAGGATGCTGCGTTGTTAACAAGCACTGTGGGCATCAGGAGCCAGCGATCTTCAGACCACACTTTCAGAACGGCTGATTTACAACGGGACCTCGAGCCTTAAAATAATTCCATCCCCTCGCTCCCTTCTCCCTCTCTGACATACTCCTAAGTGTTAAAAAAGCTGAGACTGCGGGCTATTTTTGTGCACATCATTTTAAGGAGTCTCTTCAGAGATCAGGGACAATGGGACCAGCCCTGTGGCCAAGCGTTGAAGTTCCCCACCCTCCACTTCGGCAGCCCTGGGTTGGCAGGTTCAGATCCCAAGTGCGGACCTACTCCACTCATCAGCCATGCTGTGGAAGCATCCCACATACAAGGTAGAAGAAGATTGGCACAGATTTTAGCTCAGGGCTAATCTTCCTCAAGTAAAAAAAAAAAAAAAAGGCTTAGCAGGGTTCCTAGAACAGAGATCAGGGACAGTGGAGTATTTGCTGCATCCCTGCCTCCCAAGCTGGGTGGGGAGGGGAGGGGTGTTCAGTTGAGTCTCAGACTCCTCGTCTGTGAAATGGGACAATAACACCTACCTCTGCAGCTGGTGACAATAATGGACGGGAAACGTTTTAGTCAACTCTCCAAACCAGTGATTCTCATGCCCAGCCTCCTGTTAACTCTGCCTGGGGAACTTCCGCAAAGCCCTGTGTGCCTCTGCCCCGCCCCTCCAGATTCAGTTCGTCAGGACGGGGCACAGTCGTTGAAATTTTTTTAAGTTCCCCGCGCGAGTGTAATGGACGGTGTGGTTGAGAATCTGTGCTGTAAGGGAGTGTTTCCCTACTTCGTATTTACTCCCTCTTCCCCCACCAAAGCGAATCAACACTCGAGAGAGCGCTTTCCATTTAGCAGATGATTAACAGATATATTTTTTAATTAAAATTGAAACAAGTGCGGGCACCACGCCTGGTATGCGAATGCTCACTCTTGTTTTAGTTGAAGGAATAAATGAAATACCTGCCTTTTTGTGGGGTCAGATTCCTGCCTCTCCTGTGGTGGCCACTGGAGGGCGCCCTTGACCAGCTGGCTCTGGCCCCGGAAGCCTGGTCCGCTGATCAGAGTCCGCGTGGACCCTGGATCTGGCGCTGGATGCCGCCTTCACCTCCTTGACCCTGACCCGCAGCTATAGAGCCATGAGAGGGAGTTGGGAACACTGGAGTCCTCCCTCCTTTTCCCCTGAACTGCACGTTCCTTGGCAGTATCCCCCAAATCCCACCAGGACTAGCTGACAATGCTGCCGCCACCCCCCTGCCCCTTCCAGAGGCCCCAGGATATGCCCACGGACATCCATGAGCTCCTGGCTCCACCTCAGCACTAGGACAGGCACACCCTGGGCGCCAGTCAGGGTCTCTTTCACTGGGTCTCTGCTGTGAAAATGTCCCCAGCCAGCCAGGCACAGCTCAGGCACACGGAAAGGCCACAGCAAGCTCTGATGGAGCCATGCCATGCTTGGACAAAAGGCCCCAGGATTGACCCCTGCAAGGACGGGGCCCAACCCAGTCAGGGTTGGCCTCTTCTGCTTTCCATTTCACAAAGGAGTCATTCAACAAACCATTTCCAATACCCACACTGAACCTAATCCTATTCCTGCCTCCAAGAATTCACAGTCAGATAAAAACCAAGGAAACGAATAACTCTAACACAGAACGTCAAGGCCTGTTATCTGTGCCAAGTGCACAGAAGTCAAGGAAACTTTTACAGAGAAGGGAGCATTTGAGCTGGGTCTTGAGGTATGGGTAGGAGTTTGAGCTGAGCAGGATAGAAGAGCATTACATATTAGGGGAACAGCCCATGAAAAGTCACAGAGGTGTGACTGAGGGACAGTTCAGCAAGGCATTATTACCCACATTTTACAAAGGAGGATGCTGAAGTGCGAGGCCAGCCCTGTCCAAGGTCACACAGCTATAAAGGGCCAGGTTGGGACAGGAACCTGGGTCTTCTGATTTTGAATCCTGTGCCTTTTCCACTGCCCACCATCACCTCTCCAGTGGAGGTCAGTTTCAGAGGGGCGGAGCCTTAACCCATTAGGGTGGTGGTCTCAGCTGGGGTTGAAAGGAGGTCCAAGGGATGGGGGATGCACAGGAGAACCTTTGACGGCAGCAGAGCCTGTGCTCCTGAGCCCCCCAGCAGAGAGCCATCTCTGGGGGCAGGCAGAGTAGAGCTGGGACGATGGGTGGAGGTTCCAGAGGCAGAATGCCATGGCCTTCTCATCTAGGGTCACCATGGCAACCGGAGCATCACAGAGGGCCTGCCACTGTGCCCTTCCAGGCCCTGCCTCAGCTGGGCAGAAGGAAGAGGACCCAGCTGGGCTGAGGGCAGTGGGCAGGGGGCCCTGGGGTGGGCCAGCCGGGCCTGGATGCTGCCTCCAGGCTCTGTGTAGGGCACCCGCCAGCCCACACCCCTCTCTTGGGCCAATCCCAGAACGAACAGGACAGAAGCCAAGAAGGACAAGGCCGCTTGGCACAGCGGGACAAGAGAGAGATCTACTGCAAGTCCGGAGCCTGGAAGCAAGACACAACAGCACCTTTCGCCTGGGGCCAGGCAGCCCTGGTCCCCGAGGGCTGGGTAGACTCAACATTCAGAGATGAACACATAAGCTCTGGCCCCTGCAGAAAGACAACAGGGACCAGGAGAGGCGGGGAGAGGCTGGGACACGCCTGGGTCCAGCTTCACCAAGCCCAGTCGTGCCAATGACAGTGAAGTAGCATGGAATAGGCCGGAGCCGGCCCAACTAGAGGCGCAAGGCGACAGCATCCATCACAGCCTTGGGGAGAACACTGGGAACTCATGGACTCTGCCCCGCTGAGGCCAGCCAGGTGAGGCACAGACCCCGTCTGCACCCCCCTCCCCAACCAGCTCAGAACTGGGACTCATGGGCAGGCCTGGAGGGGGAACACCCCAGGCAGGCTCCTCCTAGAGAACAGCACTGGGGGTGAGAAGACCTGGATGCTGTCACACATTCACTATAATTCATTAGCCTCGGGCTTCCTCGTCTGTCGAATGGGCATGTTAGCAGTTTCCCAGGCTATGAGAGAATGAATGGCTTCCCATCCAGCCGCCCATTTTGCACACAGAGCAACCAAGCTGTAGAGAAGGAAGTTGACTTGCCTCAAGTGACCAAGAATTAGAGTCGGGGCTGGGAGGTATAAGAAGGTCACTGTGGAGGTCAGAGCTGCGTGTCACTTCACTGTGCCAGGATGGTCCTGCTGTTCGGTTCCCAAGCGCACGCTAAATGCCACCTATGCTTAGCGCTGTGTTAGACATCGTGGGAGGGAAAGAAGAGAAGGAACAATGGTTTCCCCAGTGCCTTAGCATTTACTGGGTGCCAGGCCACCCGCTAAAAGCTTTTTAGAAATGATCTCATCTCATCATCAGAACCGGGGAATAGGAGGTGTTAGCCGCCTGTCATGGGTGGACGTCCAGAGAGAGGGGCCAGCCTGGCAGCTTAGTCATTAAGTTCGTGTGCTCCGCTCTGGCTGCCTGGGGTTTGAAGGTTCAGATCCCCGGCGCAGACCTAGTACTGCTCGTCAAGCCACGCTGTGGCAGCGTCCCATGTAAAATGGAGGGAGATTGGCACGGATGTTAGCTGAGGGACAATCTTCCTCAAGCAAAAAGAGGAAGATTGGCAAGAGATGTTAGCTCAGGGCCAATGGAAGGAAGGAAGGGAAGGGAGGAAAGAAGACCCAGAGTGAAGACTTACCCAAACCTCCACTCAAACCCAAGCCTGGGGGCCGGCCTGGTGGTGCAGTGTTTAAGCTCCCACGTTCTCCTTCAGCAGCCCGGGGTTCACCAATTCAGATGCAGACCTATGCACCACTTGTCAAGCCATGCTGTGGTAGGCGTCCCACATATAAAGGAGAGGAAGATGGGCATGGATGTTAGCTCAGGGCCAGTCTTCCTCAGCAAAAAAAAAAAAAAAAAAAAAAAGAGGAGGATTGGCTCAGGGCTAATCTTCCTCAAAAGAAAAAGCCCTCTGCCTGGTCCAAAGTCCTTGCAATATGACTCTGCAAAATGGTTGGAGTGAGGACATCTGTCAGAGGTGCCCTAAGTTAGAGAGGCTTGCTTCAGATGATGACAAGAGAGATTCAAGTGTTTTATTGTACTACATGTTTATGGTAAACAGTTAGGAAAATACAGAGCAGTAAAAAAGACAAAAATCACCAAAGGTTATCATTTGGAAGTATTTCCTTCCAGTTTTTTTTTTTTAATATTGAGGTAATATTCACATACTATAAAATCACCATTTTAACTGTTTTAAATGTACCACTGAGCAGCTTTTAGTTCATTCAACCATCATCACCACTGTCCGGGTCCAGAACATTTTCATCACCCCAGAAGGAAACAGTCCTCACGCTGTCCACTCCCCATTCGCCTCTCTCCCCAATCTCTGACGACCGTTAATCTGCTTTCTATCTCAATAGATTTGCCTGTTCCTCGCATAGCTTGTCCTTTTGTGTCTGGCTTCTTTCATTTGGTGTAATGTTTTCAAGGTCCATCCATGTTGTAGCATGGATCAGTGCTTCACTTTTTGGAGGGTTGAATAATATGCGATTGTATGGATGTACGACAATTTGTTTATTCATTCATCAGTCAATGGACATTTGGGTGGTTTCCATTTTGGAAGCTATTATGCACATTTATGTACAAGTTTTTGTTTCAACTTCTGTCCTCACTTCTTTTAGGAATATACCTAGGAGCGGAATTGTTGGATCATATAGTAATTCTATAGTTAATTTCTTTTTTCCTGTGGAAAATCAGCCCTGAGCTAACATCTATTACCAATCTTCCTCTTTTTTTGCTTGAGGAAGATTAGTCCTGAGCTAACATCTGTGCCAATCTTCCTGCACTTTATATGTGGGTGGCCACCATAGCATGGCTGACGAGAGGTGTATGTCTGCACCGGGGATCCGAACCTGCTAATCCGAGCCACTGAAGCAGAGCACTCTGAACTTAATCACTACGCCACCGGGCTGGCCCCTGTAGTTAATTTTTTGAGGGACTGCCAATCTGTTTTCCAGAGTGGCTGTACCATTTTACACTCCTACAACTACCGTATGAGGGTTCCAATTTCTCCACATCCTCACCAACACTTGTTATTTTCCTTTTTTAATTTTTAATAAGCCATTCTAGTGGGTGTGCAGTGGTATCTCATTGTGGTTTTGATTTGCATTTGCCTAGTGACAGATGATGTCGAACATCGTCTCATGTGCCTATTGGCCATTTGTGTATCTTCACTGGAGAAATGTCTATCCAAGTCCTTTGCCCATTTTTCAATTGGATTGTTTATATTCTTATTGTGGAGCTGTAAGAGTTCTTTATATATTCTGGAAACTAGATCCTTATAAGATATATGATATGATTTTCAATATTATCTCCCATTCTGTAGGTTGTCTTTTCATCTTCTTGAGAATGTCATTTGATGTACAACAGTTTTTATTTGTGATGAGGTCCAGTTTATTGATTTTTTCTTTTGTTGTTTGTGTTTTGGTGTCATAGCTAAGAAACCATTTCCAAATGCAAGGTCTTGAAGATTTACCCGAACGTTTTCTTCGAAGATTTCCAGAGCTTTAGCTCTTACATTTAGGTCTTTGCCTATTTTGAGTTAATTTTTGTATATGGTGTGAGGTAAAGTGCCAACTTCATTCTCTTGTATGCAGATATCTGGTTGTCCAAGCACCATTTGTTGAAAAGATTCTTTCCTCATTGAGTGGCACTGGCGTTCTTGTTGAAAGCCGGTTGACAATAGATGTATGGGTTTATTTGTGGACTCTCAATTCTATTCCATTCATCTTAGGTCTGTCCTTACATCAGTACCACACTGTTTTCGTTGTGTAGTTTTATAGAAGTAATGAAATTGAGACGTCTGAGTTCAACTTTGTTCTTCCCTTTTAAGGAGGTTTTGGCTATTCAGGATCCCTAGAAATTCCATATGAATTTTGGCTTAACTTGCCCATTTCTGCAAAAAAAAAAAGGCAGTTGGAATTTTGATGGAAATCGCACTGACTCTGTAGATCACTTTGCTGTCTTTATGATCCTAAGTCTTCCAATCCATGAACATGGAACGTCTTTCCATTTGTTTAGGTCTTCTTTAATTTCTTTCAACAATCTTTTGTAGTTTTCAGTGTCTAAGTCTTGCATTCCTTTGTTAAATTTATTCCTAAATATTATTTCTTTTTGATATTATCATAAATAGAAATTTTGGGGGCCAGCCCGGTGGCGCAGCGGTTAAGTTCGCACGTTCCGCTTCTCGGCGGCCCGGGGTTCGCTGGTTCGGATCCCGGGTGCGGACATGGCACTGCTTGGCAGCCATGCTGTGGTAGGCGTCCCACGTATAAACTAGAGGAAGATGGGCACGGATGTTAGCTCAGAGCCAGGCTTCCTCAGCAAAAAGAGGAGGACTGGCAGTAGTTAGCTGAGGGCTAATCTTCCTCCAAAAAAAAAAAAAAATAGAAATTTTGTATTTTTTAATTTTCATATCGTTGATTGCTAGTTATAGAAACACCACTGATTTTTGCATGTTAATCTTTTATTCCACAACTTTGCTAACTTTGTTTATTAGCTGTAATAGTTTCTCTGTAGATTCTTTAGGGTTTTCTAGGTATAAGATCATGCCATCTGTGAATCCAGATAGTTTGACTTCTTCCTTTCCAATTTGGATGTCTTTTATTTCTGTTTATTCCCCTGGCTAAAACTTCCAGGAAAACATTGAATAGGAGTGGCCAGGGCAGACATCTCTCTCTTGTTCCTGATCTTATAAGGAAAGCTGTCAGTCTTTCACCATTAAATAGGATTTTAACTGTCAGTTTTCATAGATGTCTTTTATTAAGCTGAGAAGTTCCCTTCTAGTCCTAGTTTTATGAATTTTTTTTATCATGAAAGGATGTTGGGTTTTTTAAACAACTTTTTTATTGTAGTAAGATACACATGACATAAAATTTACCATCATAACCATTTCTTTTTTTTTTTAAAGATTGGCACGTGGGCTAACAATTGTTGCCAATCTTCCCTTTTTTTTTTTTTTAAGGATTGCACCTGAGCTAACAACTGTTGCCAATCTCTCTCTTTTTTTTTTTTTCTGCTCTATCTCCCCAAACCCCACCCTGTACATGGTTGTATGTCTTAGTTGCAGGTCCTTCTAGTTGTAGGTTGTTGTGGGACGCCGCCTCAACGTGGCCTGACAAGCGGTGCCATGTCCACGTCCAGGGTCCGAACCCTGGGCCACCGCAGCAGAGTGCACAAACTTAACCACTCGGCCACGGAGCCAGCCCCCATCATAACCATTTCTACGTAAGCAGTTCAGCGGTATTAAATAATGTTGTACAATGATCATCACCACCCATCTCCACAGCTCTTTTCGTCTTGTAAAACTGAAACTCTATACCCATTAAACACTAACTCCCCATTCCCCCCTCCTCCCAGGCCCTGACAACCACCGTTCTACTTTCCACCTCTATGATTTTGACTACCCTAAGTATCTCGTATAAGTGGAATCGTACAGTATTTGTCTTCTTTTGTGACTGGCTTATTTCACTTAACATAATATCCTCAAGGTTCATCCGTGAGGGTTGGGTTTCATAAACAGTTTTTTCTCTATCAACTGAGATGATCATGTGGCTGTTTTCCTTCACTCCTTAACACAGTATATTACGTTGATTAATTTTCATATGTTGAACCTCCCTTGCATTCCTGGGATAAATCCCACTTGGCCATGATGTATGATCCTTTTCATATGTTGCTGTTCAACTTTCTAGTAGTTCGTTGAGGATTTTCGCACCTACATTTATAAGGGATATTTGTCTGTAGATTTCTTTCTTTA